AAGGATCCCTCTGGTGGCCATCCAACCCTGAAAGAGGGCCAATCTATTTCACAGAATGTACAGAGCTTTCTCTGAGACAATTTGACACCATAACAATCTCCACAGAAACATTTGACAGAGTTCTTAAGCATACAATAAAGAGTGGTATTCTTACTTTGGTTTCCACCCATTTTCTCCCCCTAGCAGACGGCAAGCACACACAAATGAGGAAACGGGGATATGGGAAACAGCTGCTTTGTCCTCCTCCAGTCGTACCCCTTGTAGAGATATTTCAGACACCTCTTAGCAATTGGCAGGTTGGCCCCAACCCAGACCAACCCTATGATGGGATTGGGGCCGCCCTCAGCTGTATGATGTCGTCACTGGCTTAGATCAGGACTTAACACTCACTTTGGCCCATTGGCCAGGTCAGAACCCTTCCACTCTCCATCTCATTCACGTGCAATCACACAGCACATTCTCCAATCCTAGGAGTCAATGAGTTTGTCATGAGACAGTGTTTCCTTCCACTGCCTTTCAGTCCTTTCTGTCAGACTGGAGACTACTGGTAGACTAGGAGGTGATCAAGCTCCCCTTCTGCCATCTGCTGGCAGGTCTAAGCAAAGGCCCTTGTTCTTACCCTTTCCATTGGGTGTTTTTCCTCATGCCAGTTCCTGCACCTCTTTTGGGTCCCTGTTGTGCTCTCGAGATCTGAATCTTGGTGTGCTGGGTGGAGTATCTCTCCTATGGATCAAAAGGTCCACTGCCCGCCAGGTGAGATTGCCTCTCTCATTGCTCTGGGGATACCCCAATGACAAAGGAGGTGGAACACACAGTCTCCAAACTGTTTCCCAACCAGTGCACCAAAAAATGTTGCAGGAAAACAGAGAGACTGTGACACTGAGGCTTTCTTAGGAAGCAGCACTTTATTAGTGCCGGCACAACTCAGTGGGCTAATGCTCCAAGGCTGAACCACCTGGAGAAAGAGGAGAGGGGTTTTATATGTTAGTTTAGGTAAGGGAGGGGGTGAGGTTATGGCTATACATTTTTCTTTGGAATTTGGAAAGTTGTATTTAACAAAACCAGATTTTCAAAGAACAAATTGTTTCCAGGATATACATGACAAGCAGGGGTTGTAAACTAATAACTTCACAAAGAGAGAATGCAGGGTAAGGTTGTGAATTGATTACTATCTTGTACTTACAGGAAAGTGGCTTGTGGCTATTTGGTTTTCTCATGTCCTATATCTAGCAGGTTTGGAGCTTGCAGGTTGATTTTTTAAAAGAAATAACTTTAACTGTTTTTAGCCCCTCTCTGCCACATTATAAGTTGAGAGGCTGGTTAATTTTAAAGGGCAAATGGATTTTCACATTAATGACTATCTTTCCTTGAAAGACTAAGGATAATATATTTTCTTCCTGAGTTTTGCACATTTATAATCATTATTTTAACAGCTGATACTCATATGGCATTTTGCTTTTACAGAACTGCTTTGATGCTCAAGTTATGGAACTTGCCTGGTGTAATAAAACCAGATATCCACATTGAGTATACAGCAATAGAAATAAATGTTTTACTGTAGGGTGCCAAGCAAGGAGGACCAAGCAGCTAAAATACTCAAATCCTGGTCTCCCCAATGGTTTGTAGGCAAGGACTTTTAAAGGTAGAGATAAATTTCAAAAAACCAAAGTTAAAGGCAAAATGATAACTCAATACATGGAAGTTACACATCAATTTAAGCTCAAAAGGGTGGGATATCTTTAAACGGGTTTACAGGTGGTGGTAGGTGGATTCAAAGATTTTCTGATTTGCAGTTGATTAAGGAAGAGAAGCTTCATTTAACACTCTGTAGTCAGTAGAAAAATGTTAACTGACTGGGGCACAGGGGTGACTTTTTCAGCCTTTCAGCAAGAGACTTAGAAAAAGGAAGGTAGTTAATTTAATTCCCCTTTATCTAAGGTCTCTGTACCAATGCATCTGTTCTGTGGGGTTTCTCAGTGGATGTCCAAAGCTCTGCGTGACAATTCAGGGACATATGTTAAGATATTATCTTTAGTTTCTACATGGAAAACAAAGATCTCTGGAACTTTAACTTTCTTGGCTATTGTTTTAGGCAAGTATTACTTGTCTAACAAGTTACTCATTAATTTTGGGAGCTAGCTAGGTGCCTTGGATTTCCCTTGAAGAAACTTAAGAATTGCCCTTTGTTTCCATGCTTTGAGTCTGCAAGCCCCTAAAAAAATGACCCCTGCTCTGTCTCACTCACAACAGATGTGAAAGATACATAAAACAGATCCTATTCCATAGGTGAAGGAACCAGTCATTTACTATGTGCGTGGCATAGGCTGAGCACAATATATCTACTAATTCATTTCCTCTAAGGTCAAACTTCCAGTTATTGTTAGACCTAGGATTTGATCAAGGCCTCTGACTCCATATACCATGATCTTTCCACACTCTCAGTTGATAGTATAGATGGAGATGATGGAAGTGATGATGAGGATATCCACCCCATTAAGCTGTGGAAGAACACTCAGGTCACCTCATGCTGATAGAGCTAGGTCCACTCTTTTACATATAGTTTACTCCACGTTAGTATATAGATTCACCCATACCTACAGTTTTTAATGATTAACAAATAAAAATTATAGGCAGATATGAATCTATTTAGTTATACATTTTCAACAAAATATACAAACTCTTTACTTTCTCTATAACACAGCAATATATAATCATGTAGGGGGTCATCACCATTTAGCAATGGTATATGCTGAGAAAAACTTGAGTTTTAAGAGCCTAATATTCTTTCTATCTTGAAAAGTCATGTGTTAACCAACCCTTCAGTTTTTACTATGCTAATGCAGTTTCACTGCAAACACTCAGTCTGGAAATTTTGTGTTTCTTGTGTTGTCCAGGCCGTTTCCAGCAGCTGGAAATCCTGGACCATGTGACCAATGCCTTCTCATCTTTGCTGAATGATGTTAGCATCCTACAAAGCAAAGCTGAAGAGAAGGTTGGAGGAGAGAGTGTGCAAAGAACCTCAGTGAATGGGGCCAAAGAACATAGAATGGGTAAACTTTTAAGGAGAACTTCAAAACAGAACATCAGGAGGGTCTGTAACCCAGAAGCATCAAAGTCCTTCCAAATGAAGAATGAATCTTTCATCCCCTGTGCAGGGGAATGTGGAGCAGAGTTGCCAACAACCTCAATCAATCACAACCAAACCCATTTGTCTCCTGTGATAGAGCATCAGTCTCTTCAGGCCTGTGATAACTTGACAACTTGTCATCCTCCCCGAGCTCTTCTGGGCAAGCAATGGCCTTGCTCATCCATGCTGGCCAAGCATGCTCCTTCTTCCTGTGTGTCTGAAGGGTCAGCAAAGGATAGAACTCAGAAGGAGACCTCACTTCAGGCTAACAAGTTCAAGATCTTGTCTCGTCTTGCGGGTAAAGGACCAGACTCCTTTGAGATGGAAGAGGTGAGTGTTGCACTAACATACTTAATCTCCTAAGGGAAATAGCCTACACCACGGCATTCCTTGCCTTCCAGCCCTTATTTAACCACTCCATCTTTCAACCACTCAACATTACATCTAATGACTCCAACTCAGTTTACACCAAGACATTTAAAATCATTTTAGTTGCTTAAGTTAGAAATAACTAGTATGAAACTAGTCCTTGCTTTCTCCTATTCTCCTATTTATTTCCTCTTTCTTGCTCACAGTTGAATCCATGTGTCTGAGTTTGCTTTTGCTCAGTGTTTTATGATGCAACTCAGTATGCTGTTATCTGCTCTCTAACTTTCCATGTTTCACCTTCTTCCAGGGTCAGTTCAACTACTTCCCACTCAGTGAAATGCCCTGACCATTCCTCTTCTGTGTTCTGCTGGCTTTGGCAGAGAGAGCTCATTATGTTAGAGACTGAGCATGTGTCAGTGTCATCTCCTCCTGTTAGACCCTCACCGTTTTGAGGATTGGAGGTCCCCCACAGTGCGTAATGCAAAGCATTGGAGAAAGCAGTGGGGATTTGGGTTTGGTTTTGATTTAGGGGGCTAGTATGTTGTTTATTTGCTTGCTTTGGAATTTATCGATTTTTACATAGCTTGACTCTCATTTCACACACATTCTTTGCTCCTTCATCCCCACCTTCATTCATTCACATTAGTTTGCACCCACTTTTAGATTACATTGCCATCTGTATTTTTCTGTTTTTTTAAAAAATACATATACATGTCCATTCATTTCTCTATTCATAATGGCAACTAGGATTGGAAGTTAACCTGTTGATAACTCTGCTATTTAATGTAATTATAACGAAGTCATAAGAAAGGAAGAGTAAGGCGTTTTCTCTCCTTTTATCTAAACTATCCAAAAGTAAGGCAGAATATTTACATGCAAATTCTAAGGTGGGGTCACCTCTCCAGGAAGTTCTCTGTGTGCTAGGCACAGAAATGATAACAGAATCTGCCTTGAAGGGAGCTACAGAGAAGTGGCAGGAATGGTCACAGAAACCATAACATGGTAGGGACAGAAAGCCCTACAGGTAGACCTTTTGTCACAATGTAGACATGTTTTGGGGTGTTCTGGGAGAAAGTTAAAGCATTCTAAACCAGCTCAGGGAATGACAGGATCAAGACACCTGTATGAAGTAAGGTTTAACCATAATCATTAAAGAATAGGATTTGGACAGGCGAATATGCCTGTTGGTAGCTCTCGCCACTCCACAAAGATATAAAAATTGCCTTAAAATATGTAGATGTTAATGATTTTAACAGTTATGTATGTATATGTATGTATGTTCATGTATGCACATGCTTTATACAAAAAAATTAAAGAATCTGTATTTAAATAGTAGCATCAAAATGAATAAAAATTGTAAAAGGAGAGAAGAAAACAAATCTTTGCTCAAGTGTCCTGATTTGAGATTAAACTGAGGCAGTACTAAAAAGAGGGTTTTTCTCCCCAATCTTGCAAAGATTATTTAATTACCAAACTAATAGCTAAATTACTGCAAAGAATGTCAAGTCAATCTGTTATTTGCTGGGAACCAAACAAGTTTTGTCAAACTCCAAGCCGTTGTTAAGCCTCATCAGTCTCTACTGCCCCTTAAGTTTCTTCTTCGAATTAGACTGCTTCAGAGGAAGGTAGTGATCATTATAAGCCATGTATAAGTGAGAGTACAGGGATAGGGAAATATCAAACTCCACATAAAGAAATAAGAAAAGGCCGGACTTGGTGGCTCAGCCTGTAATCCCAGCACTTTGGGAGGCGAGTGGATTGTCTGAGCCCGTGGGTTTGAGACCAGCCCAGGCAACTTGGTGAGACCTCGTCTCTACAATAAAAATAAAATAAGCCAGGCATGATAGCGCACACCTGTAGCTCCGGCTACTTGGAAGGTTGAGGCAGAAGGATTGCCAGAGCCCAGCAGATGTCACTGCACTCCAGCCTGGGTGACGGAGTGAGATTCCAACTCAAAAAAAGAAAAAAGAATGTCTGTTCTTTCGCAGGATATTTATGGATATTAATTTTTTCTTTTTTTCTTTTTTTTTCAGATGAGTGAAATCTTTTAATTTGTTGAGAGTTGACAGGCTGACAGTTGCTCAAACATTTATTTTTTTCACTCTTCACTGACACTCAGATTTTTTTAATTGCAGTTATTCAAGAAAAACTGGACATTAGTATGTATTTGAGAGGAGGGGAGGGAAGGACACAGACATCAAAATAAAAAAAAAATTTATTTGGCACATAGTAGGTACTCAGTAAATATGTGTGACATTAGAAAATTAACATTAAAATAATTTGATAGTATTAATTCAATCTAAGGGTGGTTTTCATTAAAAAACAGAATATTCTGTCCAATTCATAGCCACCGACTTTGTTTATGGTGTTTCTTTAATATTTTCCATGATTTGTCTGTGTATGAGAGAGGCTGTATATGTATATAAGGCAGAGATAGCCCTTAAAATGATGTAAAAGAAACTCATTACTTGAATTTCATTTTTATAAATAGTGTATATAAAATATTACATTCTCACTGGAGAAAAAAATATTTGTTTCACTCAATACCAGTGGGTAAGTAAATGAAGCCTGGGTAGATTGCAACTTAAACAAGAGCCAATGCCAGATTTAATATTTATTTTTCAATGGCAAATGTAAAAATCTAATTATAAGAAATGAAAAATATGTGTGAAACTGGCAGGTTTTCATGGCATTTAAAACATGAGCCAATGTACTTAAATATCTAGCTATTAGAATTTCAAGTATGATTGGCCAAATTTTACCTCCAGATCAATCTGTGAAGCTTTCCCTAAAGCCTTACTAAAGGCTCAATTTGGAAATATTTAGCTTATTTCTCAAAAGTATGATTTTGACAAAATTATGAGATTTTCCAATGCAAAAACCAACATATTTTTGTGTTTAATTTTACTTAGTAAAATTGAGTCCACGCCTTTCTTTTTTAAATTCCCAAACACATTAAGTGAATTTAATACTTGTGAAACTTGTGCAATTGTAAACATAAGGAAGGATACTTCTTCATTTCTTCAAATTCGTAAAAATCTTTGTCCCTCCCTCCTGTTTGCATATAAGCATCCCATTCCCTAGAAGTCATATATGAGAACACTATCTCCACTATTAAACAATGCCATTCAGCATCTTGATGGTTGGGGAGGATGTTTCAAAAGTTTTAAGTTTGACTCAGGTGAAATTTCCCAGGGATACATCTGATTTCCATTTTAAATTGCTGGGATTTTTTTTTTTTAAATAGACAAATGCATACTTCACATTGCACTAAGGGTGTTTTTCTACAAGATAATGATCATAGAAAAACGCCTTTCTTACTATACTTGAACATTTATATGATGCACTCAAAAAAATCAATAAAAAGTAATGCTAAAAAGTATGTCTAATTAATTACAAATGTAAAGTAACTTCTTTGAAAAAAGAGAAAGGATTAGAAAGAGGGAATAAATATTTCTTCTTATTACATTGTTGAGTTATATCTTCATAGTCCTGAGTTTACTCCTGGATTAAACATACCTTTTTGGCCATATGTACCACTGCTGGGGGGAAGTGGCTCATGCCTATAATCCCAGCACTTTGGGAAGCTGAGGTGTGAGGATTCCTGAGCCCACAGGTTCGAGAACAGCCTGGGCAACTTGGCGAGACCCCATCTCTACAATAAATTAAAAAATTAGCTGGGTGTGGTAGTGCGTGCCTGAAGTTCCAGCTACGTGGAAAGCTGAGGCAATAGGATTGCCTGAACCCAGTAAGTTGAGGCTGCGGTGGCCATGAGCATGCCACTGCACACCAGCCTGGCGACAGAGTGAGACTTCAACTCAAAAAAACAAAAAGAAACAAAAAACCTTGTGTCCTTTGATTAATCTTTCAATATTCAGACATCAATTCCAAATAAATGATATGACATATAGAATAGATTTATGTACAAGTATATTCACTTCAGCATTATTTCCAATTGCAAAATTAAAAAAAAAAAAATTTCAACAGTGGAAGAACTGCTAAATAAACTAAGGTACCTTTCAAGTGTAACCTATCATGCAGACATTAAAGATGATGTTTCCAAATAAATGTTATGGTTTGGGAAAAAAGATCCCCCTTCAAATTTTTGAGTGAGGTCAGTGCAGTGCCTCACACTTTTAATCTCAGTATTTTGGGAGTCCGAGGCAGGAGGATTGCTTGACCTTGGGAGTTTAAGACCAGTCTGGGCAACATAGTGAGACCTCGTCTCTACAAAAGATCAAAGAAATCAACCGGGAATGGTTTCACATGTCTGTAATTCCCAGCTATTGAGGAAGCTGAGGCAGAAGAACTACTTGAGCCCAGGAAGTGGAGGCTGCAGTAAGCCATGATTAATGCTACTGCACTTCAGCAAAAAAATTTGACTATATGACTATCCAGAATATAAACTTGAAAATAAATACTCCAAAATATTAATAGTAACTGTTTTTATTTACCGTCTTTATATTTTTCTATGTATCACATTTCTATAGTAAGCTGTATTACTATTTTAAGGTAATATTTATTATTTTGTTTTAATAATAACTTTATTCTCATTAATACAGTGGGGGTATTTATTCATTTCTTGAAAGTATTTTAATAATAAATTTTGCTCCATCAATTTGGAAATTTAATTTTTAAAGAATCTCTCTAAGTACTATATAAAACTGAGTTTTCTGTATTACGCTTCATAAACTTATCAAGCTACAGTTAACTTGCTTTCTCCAAGTATACTTAAAGTTTTTTGGAAGCAAAAAAAAATCTAGAATAATAATATTCTTATTATTTAAATTGACTTCGAATGCACATCTTCCAGAAGGAGCCTTGATCCTCCCACCCAGATGTGATCTACCCTTCTCTTGAACTTTAAAAATTCTTTGAATCTTTATCATTGTATACTGCCCCTTCCTCTCTTTGCAGCAGACGTTAAGTTATTTGAGTTCAGGAATGCATGTTTATCTCTCTTATCCATTGCCAGTAGACACTCATTATGTGTTGATTAAAAGAAATGAATCTATTATGAAAAAGTTTCTAATGAGATTGATGCATTTTGTTGTCTTAGGTCCAGAGCTTTGAAGAAGAGACTGGTAATCCTCTTGACATGACTTCAGAAACTGTAGGTAAGAATTCATCAGACCATTTCATCAATGGTCTTTCAGGAAAAGAATGCAAATAATGAGTACTTAACTTTTTAAATATGTATAGGGCTTAAATTATCTCCAGGAGATGCCGTATATTTATGCATCTGAGATGTTAAAAACCTGTTAGCAACACAAATGTATGTATAAATTTTAAAATACCGCAGAAATGTTCAGTGTCTCCAGGGCTAATGGAATATATGACTTGTCTGACACTCTCTATGATCTGACTACCATAGTGGAACATATTTTACATAAGACTGATACTGACTGGGTGAATACTTTCTCGCTCCTACTGCCACCTGCTTTGTGTTACCACAGGCCATATCATTTTATGTGACCTCAGTTTTTCCATCTGTGAAAAAGAAATAAGTGCAGATAATTTTAAGTTCTCTGCCAACCCTTACATTCTAAATTTTGTGTGACCTTACATTTAAACTCTTAATAGATGCAAGTTGCCTAGATGTAGCTTTCCAAATCATCTCTTAGAATGATGCTATATCATCCTAGACAACAGAGAAGGGAGTCTTTCTCTACTCCTGGTTCTTGTTCTTTCATTCAACCATCATTGTGATTCAGTATTTCCATGATCCCTGTAAGGGAGCTAGAAATAGGCAGGATTAGTCCTGCAAAATAGAGCAGATGAAGCCAGTGCATTTCCTGGAAGAAAATATGCAAATTTTTAATTTAATTTAGTGTGGTGTCAAACACATCTTTTTCATTACAAAGTGTATGTATGGGTCTCATTTTCCTAAATGCTGTTTAGAAATTATGAATTAGTAATTATAGGGTCCTGCTGATTACATAAATTGTTATCCTGCTCTTCTAAGTAATTACCACATAACCTGCATTGAGGTTTATAAGACAAAAATAAGCATCTGTTTTCCATCTAATTGAATGCTTCTCAATGGAGCTGGAGGTCCCCTTGCCAATAGCAACTGCCTTCCTTGACATTCTATTAAGAGGTCTATTGACATCATGTAAGACCTTCCAATCATCCCAAAAAATTATTTGTGAAGTTAGGCAAAAATTACCAATTTACATTTAATCTCAAATAGAGAGAGCAGAGCAATGTAGGTAAAGATTAGCCTAATGGAGAAAAACTGAATTATAGTACGACAAATGCAGTTTTCATTTCAGTATGTTCAAAAGTAATGATGTTAACCTAAAAAAGGGACTGAGGACAAATAAGTAAAACTAATCCAATTAATAGGAGAAAGGGGAAATTCTCATATATAAATAATCACTATGAGAAATATATACATGAATTTTTTTCCTCAAAGTTCTAAAGATTACTTCATTTGAAAGATGAAGATACATAGACTGTTTTGATCAAAATGTTGTGGTGTTGTGCTGGCTTTAGAACATAGCCCTTAACTTACCTGGCTACTTTCTGGTTCTTGGGATATCTCCTCTTGAAATACTCCCTCTGGGAACCCAGGCCCCATGTTGTGAGAAGCCCAAGTGATATAGTGATGCTACTTGTAGATACTCTGGTAGACAGCACTAAACGAGCTGCCATGTGAAAAAGCCATCTTATTAATCATGAGAGATAATAAATTGTTCCTTTAAGCCACACATATATATACAAGTAGACAAGGCACATGACGAACTCTCCAAATACCTTTAAAATTTACTTAAAAGCCAATTTTAAGACTGTAATTCCTCTACTCATGCACAATACTCTGCATATTAGCAAAAGGCAAGCAAACAAACAAAAAACCCACATGTTTAAGAAGTTCCTAATTGAATTTGAGAAAACTGACTTCTTACAGAAGATGGGGACTCTAGGCTACAAATATACTACTATATACATTCTTAGCCCCTGAACAATAAATTATCATTAAAACAACAGATAATATTTTTAAAAGATAATATATAAAAGTGCTATTTAAAAGGAGAAGGGGATCTATCATTTATATCCCAGAAGCTTGAAGGAATTTGTGTGAGACATATTGTGGATGGCATTGTAGGCAATTCTAGAAGAAGAACCTACCCAGGGATTAAAAAGATGGATCTACTTTAGAAACATAACAACATTTAAGGTAATAATTTCCAAAAGAATCTCACTTAACTATTAAACTGGACAAAGTATGTCTTTCTTGTCGCCTTATAAAATGAGTAAACACAGAAAAGCTACCACAACAAATTTAGCAGTTCAAAATCAGAGGTTATTCAGAAGAAATGCCCACCAGAATGACCACAAAGAAGCATTAGAAAACCTTGAGAGTAAATTCTCTTAGGGAGACCTGTGAGGATATTGCATCTACTGAGGGAACAATCTCCAATGAGTAAAGATTTCTTTCAGATAAAATATACAATATCTGATTCTGTTTCTGATCGTGGCTAAGTAACTCCTAATGAGTCAAACCGTCCACAGATAATAACTGTAAACTCTGGACAAAATATCTTAAAAACTCCTATGTAAAGGTACTGAAGATCGACCAAAAGCAAACAAATAGCGGAGGGAGTTTGAACACTGGGAAAAAAGAAATGGCGTTGGGTGAGTGTCCTGTTTTTTAAAAGTCTTTTAACCTGAGGGTAGGTTCCAGTGGACACTATACTAAAACTCTAATAGGAAACAGCAATCTTACTAGCTAAAAAACCAAAACAAAAACAGTTTGAAGCAATGGTAGCAGCTGAAAGAGAGAAATTCCCAGAAAAGAGAAAACTAGAGAGGAATATCCTCAAGTTTTGGGTATAAAATCTCTCCAAATCTGTAGCCAAATCTTGAACTAAACATGCATCAAAAAGACTTTAATGATCTAAGATAAGATTAAAAGACATGAACTGAGCTTTCCACTTGGAGTTTGATTCCAGTCAGGTTTCCTGCCTCCTTAAACAACATATCATTTGCAATGTCCAGGCACGATAAAAATGTACTGGACACATTGAAGAAAAAAATAATACTAATCCATGCTTAAGAAAAAAAGGCAAATAATGAAGATAAACTATGAGAAAACCCAGATTTTGGAATCAGTATTTTAGAGATGCTATTATAATCATGTTGAAGGATGTAAAAAGAATTATGCTCACAATAAATGAGGGGAAAGGAAATCTCAAAAGTAAAATGAATTATAATAGAGAATTAAATGGAAATTCTAAAAATAATAACCATAATTGCCAAAATTCAAAATTCATTGAATGGCTTAACATCATATTGGAAATGATAAAAGAAAGATGTGGTGAACTTTAATATATATTTGTAGGGATTATCCAACAATTTATAGATCTGAAAAAAGATTCTAAAATTAAATGAAAGAACTATTTGAATTCCAACATGTGTAACAACATCAAGGTCATCTATACATGCAACTGCAGTCTAATAAGGAAAGGGATAGAGAAAATATGGCAGAGAAAAATATTTGGAGAAATAATAGTGGAAAATTTCCCTAATTTGCTCAAAGATTTACAGGCAATGTTATGATCAAAGTGATAGAAATCAAGTAAGAGAAAATGTTTAAATCAGGCACAGAAAAATTACATTGAATATAGGGAAATAAATATTTGAATGGCAGAAGTCTTCTCATTAGAAACAGCAGAGATCAGAAGACATTAACTATGAGCCAGGATCATATATGTAGTGAAAGTATCCTTCAGGAATGAAGAAAAAATAAAGATATTTCCAATAAAACAAACTAAGGTAACTTATTACCAGCACACCTTGAGAGTCAGACCCTATTAATGCAGAAAAATGACTGAAAAGTAAGAGATGTGTGAGAAGCTATTTAAAAAGTACATGGAAGAAGAAAAATAAATGAATATAATTTTTAAAATGTCAAAGAAGACAGAACCAAGAGATATTACATAGATGTAACAAGTAGTTGGAGTTGGGCCCTTTCTGTCATAAGTTTTGACTGAGCTTCTAAAGAAAAAAACAGATATCAAATACAAAGTTGATGTGTGACAAACCTATATATGCAGCTTTTCTAAGGAATTTGTAGGAACTATTTCCACAAGTCTTGACCTTTTCAGCCCTTCATGTATATACAGAGGGGATAAATTGCAGAAAAAGGGAAGAGATGGATGAAAAGATTTCACTGGAAAACACTTTCCCTGCTGGGCGACCCCATTTCACTCTATGGAGGAAGAATGAGGATGCTAACGTTCAACCCCAAACAGTAAAAGCCCTTCAAGGAAATCACTCACAGAACAGATTTATTGCATTTAACAAATACACAGTGTGGGGGGTACTGTTCTACATGTTTCACATGCTTTACTTCATTTAATCCTTAAAACTTATGATGTAGGCACTATTATTAGTACTAATTGTTAAATCTGAAAACTGAAACACAGAGAGGTTAAATAACCTGCTCAGTCTTGCAGAGAGTAAAGGATGATGCCAGGTTTCGAATGCAGCCTGGCTGTACTATGCCTCTGGGAAATAACTCCCCTGTAGCTGGGAAGCACTTGGCTCCTCCCGTACAGAACATAAATACAGACTGTAGAATAGATTGTGACTCCAGGTCCAGAACTTTGGAGAGCAAGAGAAGAGCTGATCGCCATATTTTGTCAATTGTAAATGAATTCTCTTTTTCTGATTTGTTGTTCCTGCAATCAAGACACATTTACAATTGAGGGAAGGTCTTAGCTTAATTAGAAGAATTTTTCTTTCTTTCTTTCTTAGTGGTTTATAAAATAATAAGACTCTTAAAATTGATGGTGTCGAAAATTGGTAACAGTGGACATAAAGTAAAAGAATTGCCATCTGATGGACTACTGCCCTGTAGTGAATCACATGTATGCAGCCATAACAATGTAAACACTGTTGATTGTTTTTCTACTTTGAGAGTCAACAAACAGGAAGACAATTCTGATCACATAACAAATTGGAAATATTATTAAACTGAACATTTTTGAGAAGTGGTTGGGAGAAAGTCTGAAAAAAAAACAAATTGGAGGAAAGGGTAGGGACTTTCCTCCAAAAAGAAAAACGGGTGGCACACTCAAACTGAAGGACTGAGGAGTGTTGTTCACAAAAT